GCCAGCTAGGCAGCGCCTGCGCGCGTAGCCTCGGCAGGCCTGCTGGCCGAGCCGCGCCCGACTGCTCGGTTCAGCAGACTGGCAGTCCGGTCCAGACCGGTTCAGTCCGGTCCAGACCGGTTCAGTCCGGTCCAGACCGGCTGGACCGGTTCAGCCCGTATTTTATTGTTTCAGTCCCGGTTCTTAATTTCAGTATCAGTTTCAGTTAAAATTTCGGGTCCAGTTCAGATCAGTAAATTCATGTCCGATCAGTTCATGTCAGATCAGTTCCGGTTATACCGGTTAAGTCCAAATATTATGTCACGTTCAATAGAGCATCTTAACATAATTAATCAGTTAATTTATCAGCCTGAGCATAGTCATTAGTAATTGTTTATATTATATTTCAGTTTGATCAGGCATCAGCCCTACCTTCAGTTTCACGGACCTTGTGGGGACTCAGACTAGGTAGTACATTGATTATAATTACGGTACCATATTTGAGATATGTATTTCATGTCATGTATCCGCTCGGAATGGTCGCCGGTGCATTCTGGGTTCTAGTGGCCTTAGTCTGCCCACTAGAGTATGCACATGGTGTCTGGTATTAGTTTGTGTCGGCAGATGAGGTAGCGGTCATGGTTCACGTTCACGTGATGATATCAGATTCATGTTCATGTTATTACCGGTTTCATTTTCAGGTTATGTATATACCAGGATCATGATATTGTTATTATATTGTTTACTTTAGTATGAGTTTCTGCGGAGCACAGTGTTTTAGTGCTCACGCCCCCACGTATTTCATGTTTTTCAGGTCACAGAGTCGAGATCGAGGAGTGAGCTGACGAGCTGTTCAGGATATTTGTTGATATGTAAATATGTGTTTTGGCTACACTACTATTCCGCTACAGTTTTCAGTACTTTAACTCAGCTTTTGATCCGACACTAGTCGGTTAATATATTTATAACCGTTTTGATTATCAGTTTAAAAATTAACGGTTTTCAAAAAAGTCAGATTTTTACGGTAACACTCCGAATCAGTTTTCGCAAAAAGAAATATTTTATTCATTTATTCAGAAAAATTTGCGAAAAAAAGCGTACTCTGATTTCAGTAAAATAGCGGGGTGTTACACCGCGTGTTCGTCACCTCCGCAGGCCGTCAACCTCAGGCTCGCAGCCCCTCGCGAAGGTCTCGTTCAGCCGCTGCCCTCCTTTTCCAGGCGAGACGCGTGAAACCTTCGAGCCCGTCGTTCCGTCAAACCGTTCGTACCATTCTCGCACGCTTCTTGAGAATGATATCGAACCTTGATCCTTTGTTGATTGAATTTCGTGTTTGTTATTGCGATAATCGTGCTCTGCGGATTAATGTGCTCAATGATGCTAATTGTTTATGAATTTATTGTGATGTTATATATACACTGTTGTCGTTATTTAATGTGAATTTCGTCGATTCGTGCATATCGAATGAGAACTCGTTAAAAGCGTTAAGTTGTTGTGGATTTAGAAAATTAGGATTGTCATGGACACAATGGTTCTCACCTTGTGTTGTTTCAATTTGTAGATTGGTAGATATGAACTTTTGAAGTTCGTAATTGTTGTTTTATGTGTAAAATTCACCATAAATTGTATACTGATCGGGATGCTATGAAATCTTAGTTGTATGTATCTCTGTTTATATTATAACTTGTGTAAAATTTTTATAATTTTTCACGGACGGTAGATATTTTTATAAATTAAAGGGATATCTAGGTAGAAACGTATTTAATTATTAATAAATCTGTCCGTGCTCCAAAATTTATGAAATTTTAATATGTTGTCTCTCTGCCTGATTTATGCCTTGTGTAATATATTTAGAATTATCGCACAGATATTGGTAGGGTAAATAATATATTTACGTTTTCTGTTGATATATGTTTTAATTATGATAAATTGGTTAATGGCTGGAAAATTCTATTTTTGACTGCGATCCTTATTTATGTGTACTTGCATGCGGTAACAATATTGTAATTTTTTGAGTTGGGATTTGTTCAGTTTTAAATAAAATTTGATAAAATGTTGAATCTTGTATGAATTTTCATATTTTGTGTATTTGATGTTAATTGCTGGAATTTTTATATGTTGGTCCTTAACGGCTGAACTTGCTCCAGTAAAAATCTCATATGCTAATTCGTTCGGTAGGTCAGACTTTGAATTTTATGCTCGTTTTTGCTGATATCGTATCTGAATTTTGTAAATTTGTGTATAATGAGTTTGGGGCTGGAACTTTGAGGTTTTACTAAGTCCAGCGAGGAGGAATTTATGTCAAAGTTTCAAAATCTAACTCATTCGGAGATTGATCAACCTAATTATGTGATATATCATTTTCTATTTTTAAAAAATGTAGTTCTTGTGTAAAAATATTTTAAACCGGATTTCTTGTTGAGGTTGTGATTTGTTTGAACTACCTATGTGATATTTACGTGAAAATCCCATGTTTGATTGTTCGAGTCTAAGTCCTAGAGTTCCAATATCCACAGGACTTCACGAACCACTTAGTAAAATCAAGTTCGACTAAGTCAAATTTGTGATTTTCTACTTAGGTCTAGATAAAGCGCTAACTTTAGTATCTGGACTTATGTAGGTGTCTTGAGGTGTTGAACTCACCCTGCCTTTGAGAATCATGATTGTGTTTTGTCGCTGCAAACAGGTGGGCACATTTGTGATGTATTCCATAATTATTGCACTTTTTATTCGTATAATATTTTGTTTAAAAATTGTTGTATGCGTGAGAACCCTAGTCTAGGTGTCCCGTACAATAGTGCCTTTGATGAATGCAAAAACAGTGGGAGGTCACCTGCCCGTTGTATCCGGGAGGAGACGCCCCAAGCCGTTGTACCCGGAAGGGGAAAAACATCTCCACTGTCTCCTGGAAAGGATCCTACTAACCGTTGTACCCGAGGGTGGGAAGGTTTCCAGTTACTTCCATGTCGTTGTATCCGGAAGGTTGTTGTATGTACATAGGAGGTTTGCGATAAGGCTGAGTAGAAAGATTAGACCTTAAATTCTATGCATACTGTGAAAATGTTTTAAAATTCTTTACACTGGATAATTGTGCGATAATGGTGAGCTTGTTGGTTATGCTCACTCCCATTGATTGTTTGTTTTCTGTTGTTGTCTTCTCTTCCTTATTTAGGTTGAGATTAGCTGGAGGCGGTGGCATAAAGATGAGTGAGTGGTCATTGATTAGACGTGTCTTTTGCTTCCGCTTGTTTTATTCATGATAAACTAGTTGTTTTCATTCTGGATTATTTATGCTTCCGTTTGAAACTATGGATTTATGTTAAGTTTTTTTGAATGACGTTGAGACTGTTGGGGTATACAGTAAAGAAAACTTTTATGTGAGCTTTTGGATTGTATTTATTCGATTTCCCATTTGACTGAAATAAATGTTTTCACATTGTTGCATTCTTTATGATTGCTTGTATGCTAAATGTCCAATTATCTTATATTGTAGACAATGTGGTGTGTTAGTAGTCACACAGAAGATTACATTGTCGGTCCCTTATAAGATATAAATGGTATTCACAACTGAGATAGTTATGGACATGACTATCGGTTTAGGTTGTAGTATAAACTGGATATAGCTTGTCTTGGCTATTGGTTTATACTAGTGCGCTGCGTCGCATTGAATGGATCACAGTTGAGACGTGTTCTTCAGTTCTGACTATCATGAAGAACCTAGGTCTCGGTGACTCTACTAATTCTTAACCCTAATTGTGATACTTAGATATGTGGGATGTTGGCTTGTTACTTTGATTTACCATGGGTGAGAGCCAAGTATTGGTTCAATATGCTCTGTATTTTGGGTAACAACATTATCTGCATGATACCTATTTATTGGCATTAGGGAACCGTGTCCTGGACATCCAGGTTGATGACGTCCCCTTAAGGAACTCATAAGGATTATCGTATAAACCCTGCAGGTGGATTTTATCCGTACGATAATAAGGTTGAGTGGTACTACTTAAGGAATAAAAGATATTAATTAATTAAAGCAGTCAGAAGCTTTAATAATTAATGGACGTGCGATATCTTAAACACGGGGAATTATATTGAGTCTAATAGAAGCCCTGATTCATTTCGGGATAGGACGGGAGTGCAATATTAATTCTCTAGTGGAATGAATTAATATTTACAGGCCAAATTGTGTTCTGGGCTGAACATAAGAATTTGGGCCTGTAAGGAGCCCAAACCCTATACCTTCTAAGAGATCCCTAGTCTGGCCCAAGGACCTCTATAAAAGGAGGGGACTTCTCATATTCCAAACCCTAAGAGAAAACTCGTGAGTCTTTCAGCCACCAAGAAAGAGAGAGCAACGAGAAGGGTTTTGAGAAAGACGAGGGCAGTCCGAACTTTCAACCGTTTGGAGGATCGTCGTCCATCCGGCGTCCAAACGTGGTCGGGATACAGACTAGAAGATCGCTCAGATCGAATCAAAGCCTTGAAGAGAAAGGTATATCTCTGTTCTTCTTTTAGAAGCATGCTTAGGTTTATTCGAAATCATGTATGTACATGTTTGGTATCCGATATCGATCCGTGGGGAGGACCGCCTCGTCGGCGTGTTCCAGCAATTGGTATCAGAGCCTCGGTTTCGTAGATTGTTGGCTCTGCCTGAAACATGTAGTTGATTTCGTGTATTCCTTTTCAGTCATGTTTATGTTGTGGATGAATTTATTTCGTTTATGCTTCTGGATGGTGTCTATCGCAGCCCTTTTGTGTATTGTTGTAATCGTTTTTCCCACCAGATA